TGGGATAGGCAATGTTTATCTATCTCTTTTTCTTTGTTCTTGGACTTGTAGGTACACTGGTTATCTTCATACTATCCTCTGGTGAACCATCAATTCCTCCCTTTAACGTATCCCTCCAGTCATTCATAGTTTTTGTAAATCTAATGTAAACCAATATGCACAAAGTTTTCACAATTTTTTTGGTTTAACTCAAATTAATACGTTTAGAATTTCAAATAATAAAAATCTATAGATGCTTAAATCACTATAAGCAATTCTTCCCCCTACATATAAAGCTAGTTTTGTTTTCCCTTCTAAATAGATCTATCTGTTAGCATTTATTGCATGCCTCATGTGTCAAGTCCTATGCTAGCAGCTTTCTCATGGAAAAGACAAGTCACACAACCAGACAGAAATTTTCAGGAGAGAAGACACTAACATTTGAGTAACTATTATGCATTAAACATTTTCGTTATTTCCTCTAATATCATTGTGAATTATACTTTATTATTACCCCATTAGAATATTATTATCAATTATACTTTATTATTACCCCATTTTAAAAGTACAACCAAAAGTTAGGAATTAAGTAACTTGCCCATGGTATTATTTTCTCCATTTTTTACATTTGTAGAAACTAAGTCTTAAAGATATTAAAAAGTTCATAAATATTTTTATAAAATAAAATCATAATGTAAAATAAAACCCACACAGTTTCAAGGTCCAAACTCTTTCCATTTACACCACAGAGTCCCTATAAAGTACAATCTTATTTCTGTTGCACACACATCTGGGCAAATTTGGGTTACTGTTTTATCTGAAATACTTTTCTAAATAAATTTATAAAACATGGCCATATGAAACATCTCCCATCCTTCATGGAGGATATAGGCCAATTAAATATGGTCAGCCAAACTTGTAGAGTGAGATTTCATCAGTTCCATCCCTCCTAGGAATTGAATATATCCCCTAAAACAGCGATTCTCAAAATGTGGTTCCCAAACCAGCAGAAAAAGCACCACATCTTCTAAATCATAAACTCTAAGAATAGGACTCAGAAATCTGTTTTAAGAAGCCCTTTTGGGAATTATAACACATGCTAACATTTGAGAACCTCTTCTCTAAAAGATGGACAGAACCAAAGGAAGGAGCTCCCTGTAAGTTTTCAGGGTTTTGAGGTTCAACTGTCTTAGAATACAAGGTATTCTCTTTACTTTCCCCACCATAGCAAACATACAAATACTTAATTTTAATTAAGATAACTTCCAAAATATTATATCAAAATTTATTCCAGCCCTAACTGGTTTGGCTCAGTAGATAGCGCATGGGCCTGTGGACTGAAGGGCCCCAGGTTCGATTCCAGTCAGGGGCACATGCCCAGGTTGCTGGTTCGATCCCCAGTAGAGGGCATGCAAGAGGCAGCCAATCAATGATTCTCTCTCCTCATTGATGTTTCTATCTCTCTCTCTCCTCTCCCTTCCTCTCAGAAATCAATAAAAATATATTTTAAAAAGAATTTACTCCAATAAAACTAACTAAATACAAAATAACTGCTTCAACCTTATATATTTCAGACTGTTAACTATAAATGTCTGTGTTAACCTATCACCAATAGGGATAATTTCTACAATTAGTGTAATTTTAAAGTCTTTATCGCCCATTAACAACAGGCCCATATATTTTTTTTTTTCAATATCCCTCTGAACAAGTCCATTCAATTCATTTGAATTATTCAGCTTTCACTGTTTTCTTTTTTTTTTTTTTTTTTTTTTTAAATATATTTTATTGATTTTTTACAGAGAGGAAGAGAGAGAGATAGAGAGTTAGAAACATCGATGAGAGAGAAACATCGACCAGCTGCCTCCTGCACATCTCCCACTGGGGATGTGCCCGCAACCCAGGTACATGCCCCTGACCGGAATCGAACCTGGGACCTTTCAGTCCGCAGGCCGATGCTCTATCCACTGAGCCAAACCGGTCTCGGCTTTCACTGTTTTCTTACTGTCACAGTTTTAATTAAGCTTATCAAAGAAAATGGTAATAATTTATCAAATTACCTGTGTATATAACTTTTCTTTCCTGGGATTCAACAGACCTTTTCCTGTGCTTGTGTGCTTTTTCACGAAATCTTACCGTTATCACTGTATTTGGATTACCAGCATTGTAATTAGCTTCAGGAAAAGATTTGGTTTCCACAAGATTTCCAAACTTCTTGTTGACAAAATGGTGAACAGCTTTTCTGTGGTCTTTGTTTGTATCAGGTTTAAAGGTAAATTTGGAATTTTCTTTCTTTGCATCCAAGTATTTAAAAAAGTCAGATGCTTCTTCTTCAGATACCAAGTGACAGAGTTCTTTATACTCAAGATTTGGTTTTACAACAATTTCACTGTTTTTTCCTACAGTTAGTAAAAAAGGAAACTTCTGCCGAATAGCACTATGCAAAATAGCCCTCTGGTTTTTGTCAAGGATTCTGCCCAGTGAGAATTCAGGAGATGGTCCAGTCAGCTCACTTTCAGAATTCCATTTCTCTTTTATATCACAGGCAAACTGATCCAGTAGTTCATTAGTTTTTTCATCCAACAAAGAGCCTAATGCATAAATTTTTTCTTCTTCACCTTTGGAAGTTCCATCATGGATAGTATCTTCCTTTTCTGAACCAGACTGATGATTCTGGTCATCATCGGAGCACCGGACCAATATACTGACTTTCTGGTTGCTTCCCTCTTCAAAGGCTAAATTTTGCAAACCTAGTTTTGTTTTTTTGGCAAAATTATTTGGCTCAGGCAGTCCTTTACTCATCTTGTAAATAGGTTCATCAGTGGCTTTATTAACTAACTGTCCCCGCTCATCAATCTCAATAACAACAAAGTCACTTGGCGAGCTTTTTATGGTGCCATGAAATCCAACATGATCAGTAATGAAACATAAAGAACTAAACCTTATTCTAAAATCTGTATCCTCTTCCATTCTTAAATAACAAGGCCTACAAAAGAAATAAAAGTTTCTTCAGTTAGTTACCAGAAAGAAAAGTTGCAGCTAACCAAACTAAATGTTTGCAGGGTTTAATTATCTTTATCCCTTACATTCCATAAGAACAAGAACCTTGTCTGCCTTACTCACTGACTATCTCATAGTTAGAACACTGTCAAGCACATGTGGGCAAGCAATCAATAGTGATTGCTGAATGAATGAAACGAGTACAAAATAAGAACTGGAAGAGTGAAGAGGAAGAGAGATGAAGTCTGCCTCTGATAAACGCATAATGCAAGAAGTGGCCATCTGAGTCCTCAACACTGTCCAAGCGATGGAAACGATGCCCCGTAGTATCATGAGCAATGAATGTCAGACAAAATATGCTATGTGCTAGAAACCCGAACAGCCCAAGTTCAGAGCAGCAGGAGAAAGCGTCTCCTAGTCCCGTTCTGGAAAAGACGGTTGGATTAGTGACAAACTATGGAAGACACTTGATGCCCTGCCAAGGCCTTAGAATCCACTGAGGGGTCCAAGGACGGCCGCGGGACGTGTTCGGGTGGGAAAATGACACCGTCCCAGGAAAGATAGATGACTGCGGGCACTGAGCAAGACACACCTGATGAAGAGTTAGGAGCTGGAAAGCAGTGTCACCAAGAGCACGGCTGTAAGCCTGGCCTTGGAAAGAACAATGCTGCACTCTTTCCCCAGCAAAAGGAAGGAAGGAGGCATTCTAAGCTGGAACAACTTGGGGGAGCCTTTCGATGAGGGAGTGACAACCAAGAGTGGGTAAGAGTGGGTCCACGTGGAGCTGTGCATCAGGTTCCTCAGCTGCAGATTTGCTGACAAGGGTGCGGGGTGGAGAGGGAGAGGGCAGTTTGACACACACACACACACAGTAGAGAAACTGCTGGTTGAGGGCAGATTCCGGCAAAACGATAGAAATGGAGGCAGGGAGCGCCTTTCCCCCTCATGCTCTTACTTCCCTAAACGCCAAAGCTCGGCTGAGCTCACTCCTACTTCCTAGTGCCGTCCCCAAGCCACGGAGCTCATGTCTGCGGCGTCGTGGCCTGCGGGCGCGTCCAAAAGTGCCCCAGACGCCGCCGGCACCTCCACCTGCCTCTCCCTCCCCCACCCCCGCCTGCCCAAGGCGAGATATTGGCCCAAGTCGCCTCCTCTTGGGGATCAAGAGTAGGGGCCCCAATGCCAATCATGTCATCGCCCCACACTCAAGCCCGGGATCGCGCAAGGAGCCGGACCCCGTCTACCTCACATACAGGTGAAGGCATCCACCGGCACAAGCCAGGGCGCGTGCCGGGAGACACAATATTTAGCCTCCGACAGTGGCGTATTTAAAGGGGCAGGCTCCGACAGTGGCATATTTAAAGGGGCAGGCCCCCACTTAAATTAGCGCCTCACGCGAGACCTAGAATTTCTCACTTGGTGGAGCCGCCTGAAGGCTCGGAAAGGCAGGGGAGGGCGGGACTGAATGGGGCCGGGGGCGGAGCCTACAGGGTTGGGT